TTATGGGGGGGGGGTCAAGCCGATCGTGTGGCCCTCGCAGACGAGACGTTCTCAGTCTACTGCCAGCCGCATCTGTCAATATCAGCACACGGTGGACATCGTGGACAACGACGGTTGAACCGTCATGTAGTCGTAGACCTGCGCGGCATCTACCGCACTCTCTTACCCTCGTCCATCTGAACCCAATGCCATAACAGAGTCAAGAAGACCGGAGAAGTGATCAGGTACGGGTGGCTGGCGCTCCGTTAATTCCCACGTAGACTTTCGACCACAAAACATCTGGTCCGCGAACAGAGAACCAGGTCTTCACATAGCCACCTAAATGAGAGTGTCGTAAAGGGCACATTAAGAAGCCGACATTGCAGTCTGACTCTCCACCATGAGAGGAGGACCGAATTAACTCGCCAGTAGGCAGCTTTCCAAGCCACGTCTTCAAGCGCTCCATGGCTGTTTCAAAACGCATCCGATTGTTTATAGTGAGCGAAAATGCGCTGAATGCCGTGGTGACGGAGTCAGTAGAGTCAATCTCACTCTCAGTTCCCTCTCCCAGGCACCAATCCACTGGCCAAGCCGGTCAGTCAACTGTGCACCGCGTATGGACTGAGCACTAACCCAGTGAAGACGGTCGTCATGCTTCTTCACACTTGACTGACTACTACTCCTTGCTGTGCAGCCCCGATCACGCTTGGAGGACTTCTGTCGAAATGAAAATCATTTCCCCACTTCGTACCATTCTCACCCTCATATCTGTTTGGCACTCATTACCTATCTCATTTGGTACTATTGGGCTGTTCCCTTAGTTTGAACAAGGCGAAGGCGACAAAGCATGCAGAATTTAATGACGTCATAAATTTCGAGACCTCTCATTCAGCTGCACACGGTCATTGCATAGTTATATTACAAGGCAAAACTGTTCAATCAACGATCGACCTAGAGAGCTAAAACGTGATAGGTGACCTGAAAAATGGGTCTATTATGCGGGTGCATATGGTGAGGGGGAGGGGGAGAGAAGTCATCCAAGTATGAGAGAACTGGTGCGGCGTGATTTGGAGTGCAACGTGCGGGGAGCAATCAGTCATGCCGCACCAGTTCTCTCATACTTGGATGACTTCTCTCCCCCTCCCCCTCACCATATGCACCCGCATAATAGACCCATGTTTCAGGTCACCTATCACGTTTTAGCTCTCTAGGTCGATCGTTGATTGAACAGTTTTGCCTTGTAATATAACTATGCAATGACCGTGTGCAGCTGAATGAGAGGTCTCGAAATTTATGACGTCATTAAATTCTACATGCTTTGTCGCCTTCGCCTTGTTCAAATTTATCCCGGGAAAACACTGTTCCCTTAGTGATTTGCTCGTTTTATAAAGGAAGTGGGACCGTTTGCAACTAAAGATGAGATTATGAGATTTCTGACATAGTTATATTCAACATGCTTCGCCACATTTGCCATATTTGTATTTTGTCCGACAAACCTTCGTGCCAGTGCACGTACGTTAGAGATGCTGCAGAACGTAGTACATTGTTAAATACAGGTTTTTGTGCTCTGAAACCTCTCAATTGCAGAACGGAACCTGCTCCGGCAGAAAGCATCTCGGAGTTTAAAAATGCCTAATTACCAGACCAAGTCTCCTGTTTTAGTCGGATACCGGCCAGTACCTTGGGCTCTTCCCGACGTCTTTCAAAACAGATCTATTTAAAGACATGATGAAAACGAACAATTTTTTTTTCAAAATTTGCTAGTAAATGCGGTACGAAATGTTCGTATTTTGGCGTACTCTTACTGAGGGCAACCTAAGAATAGCTTGTGTGCTCTTTAACTTCGAAAATGAATTTTCGGTCGTCCTGTCGTTAGGTGCCCCCATCTCGATGTCCATCCATCAATGCACAGAAGAACTCCTCCAGCCCTACAAAACGGATTTTCCTATAGTGCTTTGTTTGAACTCCCACACTTATGTCAGAAGCCAATTTGTCATTCGTACATGAATACTACTGACATTTGAAGGGAGTCATCATGAGGATGATTAATCTCCGACTTTCTTGCTGCTGTCCTTATGCAGAAACTAGAAGCTTTCGCCCTGCTTTTTATTTACTTCAAATTATCGGTGCAAAATGTAAATGACGACTTTGTTGCAATCAAAATGATTCAATAGAAATGCTCCATAACGTTATTGATTCAATACTTCAATGAATAGCACTCACACTTTAAAATAAAGCTGACAATAAACTCCCCTTTCTTGATGTTTCCTCTCAGCTAAAAGCAACAAGGACATTTCACACGTCATTTTAGCCCAAAACTTGTGTCAGACAGCTGTTTTGCATTAAGAGGGTAATAAACTTATCCTTAGCAAAGCAGGTGCTTTCAACCGCCCAAATGCTCGATAAAAACAAACTTCTCTGACAATGGACGTTATTGAGCAGAAGTCAATTATTTATTCAAACTGTTTTCCCGCATAGGACAACAGGAGTCAAAACAAAAAGACAAGGGATCAGGATGTATCAACCAGGCGCAGAAAACAAAAACTGACGTACACTTCCTTACACTTGAAATGTGTTCGAACTCGTTAGAGGATGCCTGAAGAGCACCAGTTACAAGTGGCGCACAAACCGATGACTACAATACGCATCCGCCTTTTAAATCATACCGTTTGGGTTAACTGTCTGGATAAGAAAGAAGTTTATTACAGGATTAATTACGACATTCACAACACAATTAATTGTGGGCGGACCGGGAAATCGGCCTCTTCATGCACATGTAAATATCGATTGGCAGTAAAGACGCAGGACCACTTGTCCTTAACTGTCATGCATACGCGAGTAACGTGACACATTTTCATGGGACAAAACGCGCATAGTTGGGCTGTATCCACCTAAGAATGGCTGAGAATTTCTGAAGGTCATACCTCCCGGTGACACGTGTATTGATAAGTACATCTTATTAAATGCCGTACACAAAGATGTTAGGGATAAATAAAAATACAACAGCCAATCCGACCCGTATGAAAGCTCAGAGCAATCGCTTATTGGCAGGAAAATCAAGGCATTATTGATTTTTCAAGCATGTCAAAACTTTTAAATATGTTGCACATTTGCTACACATCTGATGACGGGTTGGCAGACCAGCATCTAAACTTTACAAAACAGGTTTTGCTGACTTTCCTTAAGAACATGCATGACGTGATGGACCTTAATCGAGCAAATTCTCACTGCTATGAAAACCAAACTTACCAAACATAACTGAGTCGTTTGTTCAAACTGCTTTCCCAGAGTGGGTATCCTAGAGATTTTGTACATCGATGCATAAGACGACAGGAGATAAAAGAGGAAGGAAAAGGGAAGGACAAACTTGTTCCTACCAGGCGTCCAAGCCAAAACCTGGCGAACATTGATGAACACTAGAAATGCGTCCGAACCAGTTAAAAGACACCTGAGGAAGCGTCAAATACATGTGGCACACAAGCCGAAGACTATACCTCGCAACTAGCCCTTACACCATAAGAATAGGGTTTGGCCATTTAGATAAGAAGTCGTCTAGAAGACAACATGCGACATCTGTGACGTTGTTTATTGTGGTTAAACTGTGAAATCTACCGCTACACGCATATGTGAAAGTATGCTGGTATCGAACAAGCGAGATCACTTGTAACAAGTTGCTATGAACACGCTGGAAACTGGACGACTTACTTGGAGCAAAATTCGCATCATAGGTGTTTGTTCATCTAAAAAACGCAGAGATTTTGGAGGTTATACATTCTGACAACCCGTGCATCAATCGGGGCATCAAATTAGACGCCGTACATAACAATCTCGAAAAATAGAAGCAACGATAGCCAATCAGAAGGTGATGTTAATCCACAGTAAAGGCTAACTGGCAGGGGTGACAGCACAATGTCGATTTTAGCATGTTTAAATTCTGACTGTTGTGTATACTTGCTTTACGTTTGAGGACGACCTGGACGACCAACGTCGAAAAGTTACAGAATAAACCTTGTTATCGTTCACGAAGGATTTATTTCTTTCGTATATTTATATATATATATATATTCGCTCAGGAATAGACGCACACCGGTCCATTGGCTTCCCGAAGCAAAACAAGCTTCGTATGTGCGATGGGGGTCACGAACAGGCAACCACCTACCAGGCCGAAGTCGGACAAGTTATGATAGCAGGGGGGAGACGACAGAGTCTGAGGGCAGATTGATACAGCACTGTTTCGGGTTTGTTTGCCTTCAGTCAGCCAATCATAACCCTGACCACCAGCAGCTGAGACTAGAAACACAAACATGCGCACAGATGCACCTGGCGCAACTGATCCACCACTGGGGTCTACCAGATGGGTCATAAGCACTTCCTTGCTGCTATTATGACTTGGCCGACTTCGGCCTGGTAATTGATTGCCTGTTCGTGACCTTTGCCACCCATACGGAGCTCGTTTGCTTCGTCAAGCCAATTGATCGGTGTGCGCCCATTCCTGAGTGAATAAATGCCCGATCTGCAGCGACAGAGAATGACAGGTGGCGAGGCACTGATGAACTTCGGTTCGATGAAGTGCTTATGACCCATCTGGTTGACCCCAGTTGTGGATCAACTGCGCCAGGTGCGTCTGTGCGCATGCTTGTGTTTCCGGTCCCAGCTGGCGGTCAGGGTTATGATTGGCTGAATGAAGGCAAACAAGCCTGAAACAGTACTGTATCAATCTACCCCCCCCCCAGACTCTGTCGTCCCCCCCCCCCTGATATATATATATGTGTGGCAAGGAGGGACGACAGAGAATGTGGGTAGATTGATACAGTACTGTTTCAGGCTTATTGTGCCTTCATTCAGCCAATCATAACCCTGCCCACCAGCAGCTAGGACCAGAAAAACAAACATGCGCACAGACGCACCTGGCACAGTTGATCCACCACTGGAGTCTACCAGATGGGTCATAAGCACTTCATCGAACCGAAGTCCATCAGCGCCTCGGCACCTGTCATTCTCTGTCGCTGCAGATCGGGTATTTATTCGGAAATGCCCTGTATGTAGGGGAGTGAGAAGAATTTCCGTATTTCTGGTCCCTTATTAGGACCAGTGCTTTGTGGTTGTCTGCGATGTCTGAGACAGTTTTTTACAAAGCTGATCGGGTACCTCTTGAGCCGGAATAACCGATACAAGAAAATGAGTTCTTTCTTAAGCAGATCATCGCTGCTGCAGTAACGATAGGCCTGGTGGAAAAGGGTTCGGACACAGCTCCTTTTATGAGCCGCAGGATGGTTGCTTTCATAATTAAGAATGACGTTAGCACTGGAGTCTTTTCGGTAGACGCTCGTTGCAAGACCGCCATCACTGAGCGTTTGGGTACTAACGCCTAGAAACGGGAGAAGGCCTCCTGTTGCCTCTTCGCGAGTAAACTGGATAGCTGCGAAGACGTTATTCAGACTCAGATGCAGTTGCTCAATTTCACAGTTTTTCATGATAACAAACGTATCATCTACGTGTCGGAGCCACATTTTTGGCTTAAAGGTTCGCATAACTTCCTCTTCTAGTTGTTGTAGTACCAGTTCAGCTAGCAGACCTGATATTGGCGAGCCCATTGGTGTACCCCTAACCTGTTGATAAAACTTTCCATCGAATTGGCAGTAGTTCTTGAGACAGAGTCTAAGAAGTTCTGAAATGTGTTCTAGCTGAATGTTGGTTGGATTATCTTGCAGGCGTCGGGTTACGCTCTCAATCGCTAGGTAGTGTGGTATTGAGGGAAACAGGGCAACCACATCCAACGATAGAGTACACTCATCAGGACTTACTTTGAGGCCTTGGATCTTCTGGAGAAATGCCTGAGAGTTTTTGATGTTATATTGTGATCCATTGGTTAGGTGCTTCAGGTGCCTGTATAACCATTTAGCGAGGTTGTAGGTGGGCGATCCAATAAGCGGCACTATGATCCGCAATGGCGCACCTTCTTTGTGAACCTTTGGGAGGCCATATGCATGAGCTTTTCGGGGGTCGTTGAGAGTCATAAATCTGAAGTCATTGGGAGTTATGAGCTTCAGTCGAGTGAGCTCATTCACCTTCTTTTTTATAGCTGCGGCTTGCTTTTTAGTCGGATCCTCCGCGAGTGGTGTGTAGGCTTCCCTGTCGTTAAAGACTTGGTTCGCCTTGTTGACGTAATCACTCTTTTCCATGATGACGGTCGCGCCACCTTTGTCAGTAGACACAATCACTATACTGTCGTCTGTCTTGAGAGACTGTAACCCCTTTTCTTCATCGATGGGCAGGACTTGGTGGTGCTTCTTTTGTCGAAGTAGACCGGTGGCACAGCTGCGTATGTTCGCGCGCATGTCTTCAGCCACAGCTGAGGTCAGTAAAATAGATTCAAGGTTCGCTATGAAGTTTGCGGGCGCAGCATCAGTGGGGCTGGATTTTGTTCCTTTAGATAAAAGACTAAGTTCAGCTGATGTTAGACTCCTTTTAGAAAGATTAACAACTCTTGTCGATCTGCTGATTTCGGTGACAGGTCGAAGAAGAGATTGCAGTTTCATTCGAAGGTCGGCTCGCTTTTTCATTCTGGCGTCTAAAGCGGTGGCATTTATTCGCTGTAACACGTCTGCGAACACATTTTCAGGCAATGTTGAGACACACTGGCTTCGGAGGTCGGATATTGTTGCAGCAAATCTGCAAAGACGACGGTGGACGTCTGATATAATGGCACTCAAAACGCGAAATCCGTATTTGCGTGCAAGTAGCCTCCCAATGTCATTCAGCAGAGTGGGCTTGAAACGAAGAGACTTCGGTCGGATGCCATGATCGCGACCTCGATGAAGGAACGTCAGCTGCTCGTAAGTTGTAGCCTGTCTTTGTGCGAATTTCTCCCAACGTCTGGTAAGAATAAGCGTTTGACGCCCAAAAATATGTTGAATAGTTGAGGTAGTGTGCATTCCGAGATAATATGAAGAAGATAGAAGGCTCGTGGGAACGAATCGAGTTGTACTCGTGAATTTTCGAGCTGGTGACACCAACCCGTCGTCAGACGAAATAAACGAAGGAGAAAGTGAAGTGATCAAAATAAATTGGTTGGCACTGACATATATATGTATACAACATAAATGAATTTTCGAGGTTTTGATAAATTATCCCGTTCACCATCCCCATATATGCATATATCTGTGTATTTTGGAAGAAATAAATCATTTGGGAAAGTCAAAAGCTTTATTTTATAAATTTTCGACGCTGGTTCCCCATGCCGTCCTCAGATGTGTAGCAAATGCGCATAATGGAATAATCAATACTGCGTTGTCATTCCTACCAATAAGCCATAGCTGTTATCTGACATCTCGTCTGATCTGGCTGTCGCCTTTTCCAGTTTTCCTTGAGACTGTCGTACACGACGTCTAATTCGATGTATCGATTGATTCAGACATCGTCATAATGTGTGGTCCCTAAAAAATCTCGGTCTTCACTATACGAACCATAGTATCGATTTTTCAGGTGCCTTTAAGATTTCACTATTTTGTGCATAAGCTGTCTTTTTTACGGCTACCTAGGTAATCAGCTTTGCAAATGTGCTAAGTAAGGCCTTATAACTTTCCGAAAGAAATTACTTCCTTCAAATTATACCACTTAGGATGCCCGTCTTTTGATACATGTAGATATATGAATGTGACTTGAAAGCAATGTAGGTATAGGAACGGTCGGAGCGAATGTCTTCTTGCGCAAGTTTGTAAATTTGGTCTGCACAAACGTGACGAGAGACTAATTCCAACCGGACCTAAATTTTGGCGAGAACTGCGAACGTAAAGTGTGTCTCCCACCTGTCCTCTTCTCACGTCACTCCAATTTCGGTCAGTATGCTAGTAGGAAGCAGACAAAAGGCGCCAGGCGACGAGGCCGAAAGACCCACTACTCCAGCAAAAAACACCTGGAGTCGTTCACCGGGCCGGGTGAACAGGTAGCTGCGGCATTTATGTCAAAAGAACTGGAAGATTTCTTTGAGCGTAGATGGCCGAGCAGGTAGCAACAGTGGGGAAGAAAAACGCCAGCTCCCATTTGTCAGGAACCGACCGCGCCTTCAAGTTTGATGAGACTGAAGTCCGCACGCGTTTCGACATCCGCGTGGGATGCGAGTTGATTGTACCGTGGTTCTCCGGCCAGCAGACAATCAGCAAGCGGTGAGTCGTTGCCTAAGCAGTGTACTTATTCACCTAGGAAGCACGCGGGCGAAAATTGCCTGAAGCAACGTTCGGCGTTTGTGCGTCCGCTGTCTCGAGTTTCTGCTCTCTCTGGCGATGGGTTAGTTTGTGAATCCTAAAAGTTGAATGAACTAAATTCGTTCCTCCATTACTGAGCATCCTAGAATGCTCCTTGGAAATAGCCTTATCTTGTGTATCGACCCATATTTTCTTGTTTGACGCTGGAAATGCTTAGTATAAACAGAAGGGTATTGTTTAGACAATGGGAGATGCATTACAAATTGTACGCTAGCTGAAGGACGGGTAGGGCTTATCCATTTTGCTTTGGAGAACCGCGTCTATAACACGCGCAGACGGTAGCCTAAAGGTTAGTGGCCATTTGTCGACAAGCGTTGCTGACAAAGATAAGGTCAAGGTTGGGGGGATGAACGCCATTCCCATGTGACCTTTAGTACTACCACTCTCGGTTAGCAGACAGTGAGAGCCTAGCCAACCTGTGGGAACCTTTAGTTTTAAGACCACCCGTTAATCAGATGACCCGAGCTGAAATCTCAGGCCAGCTCATCCTGTCGTCTTGCATGATCGGCTGATAACGGCAGACAGACCAGAAACGGTTGTTTCACCGTCCCATGGCGTTCTTGGCTACATTCCTCAAACATTTTGTTTGTCTGACCTGTCCAAAGGTCTTGGGTCGCATCAGCGTTCACATAGATTTTAAAAAAGCCATTTAATAGCTATTACGTACATCAATTTGGTCGAAATTTTTGCGTAACTTTCGCATTTATGTCCTAAAGCGACTTTCATTGAACGACCAGTTGTCGCGCTCTAAGTCCAGCTAAGAGGAGTTAACTAAGGAGCCCATGCAAAGACAGCAGATTTTACAGTTAACGAAAGTAAATTTGTTCACTTGTGCGTTATGAACATTTGTGCTTGGATCGCGGTGGTTGATGTCAAGCGATTAACAAAAAGGACTAAGAAGATCACAAGGGTTGCTAATCAGGCGAATACAGGATTGGTGATGCGTGAAGAAAGTGGTAGAGGAAAGATCACTTCATCAAAAATTCATCAGATGCGACAGATCCAAGTTAAAGGAATGGTGTTTGGAACACGAGTTCATAGAATAGATTCGTTCGCAAATTTCCTATTTAAAAGGTATCCCACGAGATGAAATAAAGACACACTATTTAGCAACGGAGGCCTTGGGGAGGAAAATATCCAGTCTGGTATGAGGCGCTATAGCTTCCCCCAAATAGACCCAAAAATAAATGACCAGAGCCAACAAATGCCCTCTTTCTTCTGTTCTAAAATTTACTGTCGATGATCTCAGGGCAGAAGATGCTACCCGACCTTCCCAATCCTTCTTTTTAAACAAATATGGTCATGAAAACTATCAGTCATAGTTTTGTCATTTAGACTTTATTAAGGTGATTAAAGGGGACGAAAATGAGAACCATAGACGCAATTTTCATACCACGAGTTATATACCTTCATAGAGAAAGCAAACGTGGCAATCAATAGTAAAGAACAACAAAATGAGCGTGAACTATTAATGCGAAATAAACCGGCCTTCGAGCTCCTGGCACATTATGCTTTCAATTCATCCACAAGCAATGAAGACACGCAGTGGATGTGCTAATTCATGAAATGTTGACCGGAATGCTGAAATGCGTTTTCAACTTAAAAAATTACGTAAAAAGGGCTGCAATGTTAGTCAGCGCGCAGCATAATCCTACAATAATTCAGGTACTTCAGAATGCCGGCTTTTGAATGAACTTCTTTGCGGCCGCCTGCAAAACCGCACTCTGTAAAACAGACTGCCTAGGTAGTATGAGTTTTTCTAACGAACTTTTGACGCCCTTATAATTTCAAATATATCACATGGACAGCATGCATAAAAAATTCATTACTTTACTCAGATGGTAAAAACGTCCGTCTTCTTCAAATGGCTTGGTTGAAGGAAGGGCCTAATTTGGTTTTAAAACTTTTCCAATTCCCGGAATATTTTGAAGTCGACCTGCCGTTACACTTGCATTCAAGTTTTCCAGGCTACAAGCCCTATATTTTCCGCGTACGGGAAATCATATATTGTTAAAAGCTATGAAAAGGAGACGATGTGAAGATAATAAAATTTTGCAGGGGATTCGAAGCATACTGTATAGTTTAGAAGTAGCGTTAGAAAATGCACAGACACGTTATTTTGTGAACGAGCACTTCATGGTCCTAAAAGTCTCGCAAATAGAAACTTTTTTAAAACCGAATTAGGCCCTTTCTTCAAGCAAATCATTTGAAGAAGACTGACGTTTTACCATGTGAGTAAAGTGATGAATGTTTTATGAAGTTGTGAGGGCGTCAAAGGTCCGTTGGAAAAATTCATTCTGCCTAAGCAGTCAGTTTTCGAGAGTGCGGATTTTGCAGGCGGCCGCAAAGAAGTTCATTCAAAAGCCGGCTTCCTGAAGTACTTGAATTATTTTGGGATTATGCTGCGCGCTGACTAACATTACAGTCCTTCCTAAGTAATTTTTCGAGTCGAAAATGCATCTCAAAATTCCGGTCAACATTTCATGAATTAGCACACATACCGTAAGTATCAACTTATTATTCGCTCGGGAGGCCGAGACTTAATGAATCCTTAAAACTCCTTATTTGCCTGCTGTCAAAATGAAGTCCACCACAGTAGAATTGTTTTTATCTTTCCGGTCGGTCGCTTCTCACCCTTATATTTGTTCAAATTATCAAGTCTGTTCTCACTACTCTCCGCTCTTTCTAACTGGATGGCCTGACCTGAAACAGTATTGCGTGATTGGAAGTTAAATGACCTTCCTCCGTTGTTAAAATCCGCCACTGGTCATATTAGAATAATTCCCAGCCGTGGGCGTTTATCTCAGAATGAAAGGTTTGTTAACGCATCTGTCCTACTTTTTGTTGAGGATTATTTTTGTATACACAGAAAGTCCCAAATGATTCCACCTCGTAGGTAGAATTTTCAAAACATTTGCTATCTAGTAGTTTGGCAACTTTGAAAACCTACTCGAGTCATCCTCACTTCAAACAGAGTTGAAATTTGTAATACGATCTGAAATAATAACCTATTTATGGTCCCTGTGGCATTTAAGAAATGGTTCTTCGACGACCTCGCAATTAATTCCAACATAAAATACATGCTTGAGCTCCAAATTAAACGAAAATCACTAAAAACCACTCCTCATAATCCCATTTTGATTTGTTTTCCGGTATTGCTCTATTAGTCCTTTACGAAATTTCTTTATTTACATAAAGATAGTTTCCTCTTTAAAATGAAAAAATCCTCTTTTTATTCCTTTCATCATCAAAAAATCCATGTTAGCGGGGTGGAAATTGTAATCGTAGCAATGATAGCA